TTTTTCTGAATTAAGATCCTCCATCCAATCTGAAAATCTAAGCAGAAGAACTGCCTGAGGAGCGGAGTTCAGCTTTGAGTTGGTACGGTTTGGGCTTCATGGTTAACCCATATCTGGGTGCTAGGTCGAGCTGGGCTCCAGAGCACTTTGACAGCTTGAGCTGTTGCAGAATAGTGGTGAGGAAAATAAATATCTCATTCCGCGCAACATCTTCTCCCAGACACTTCCGGATTCCCATTCCAAATATCAGAACTTTGTCAATAAGACTTTTATTCAATTCTCCGTTCTTGTCTAGAAATCTCTCAGGTCTAAATAAATTAGGGTTATCCCAAATAGTTCTGTATAAAAATAGACAAAAATGATATTTTAAAAAGAAATTATTTTATCATTTTTCTCATTGTTGGCAAATTTTCCATAATAATTTATTTTGCATCAAATGTTTAATTTAATTTTGGGATATTCTTTATAAACATATATACATACACATATAATTATTATACAGACACAATTATATATAATTATTATGGCTGTATATATGTATATATTTATTTGTCTATCACTCATTCCTTTAATATAATGAAGGATTTAGTTATTAGGAAGATTTAGTATAATTATTACATTTTTTCACTAAAGTGACTTGTGATACTTTAGTTAATGTAAGACTTGAGAATTTATTTAAAATTTTAATTATTTTAAATTAAGAGTTCCACAAAATTCGTATAAGAACACTCACTTTCACTGCCTGAGGCACCTTCATCTTAACCCTCTATTTTATGTTTGATAACGGTGAGTTTCTAGCTGCATTTTATTCAGCTTATGTTTATTAAGTGCCTACAGTGTGGTAGACACTAATCTAGGTGCTGGGTAGAGGAAAAAAGTAAATAGAAAGAGGTAGCAATTCCTGCTTGGTGGCCTCCAGTCCAGTGGGATTCCATACTGCATTTCAAATGTCAGCTGGCTATATCCATGTAGAGGGTGACCCCATAAAGTCCTTGGCCCAAAACTACTCCAATCAACCCACTTCTGAAATTAGATTTGCCCTGAGTAAATCTGTGTTGAGATTCCCCTTCCCATTACAGGTGAAGAGGGAGAACTGAACTTCTTTTGAATTTTTTCAAGAGAAACAAATGGAGTAAAGTTTGGTTAAGAAATCTATAAATCTTTCCCAGATTGATACACAATAAACAAACTAAGCAAAGTTTATCTCAAGAAATCATTGTAATCACTTACTCATCATGGTTTACTTGGTACATGTTAATAAAGACGCAAGTTTTCCTGGGGATGAAATAACCATTCAGAGAAGTGTCCACTGTAGTACTGGGAAAGCAAAACACAGCATTACAACACATTCTAAAATTTCAAATAACTCATTAACTGCCACAATTCACAGATTTTTTCAATTAATTTTTTACCATAATAATAACATGAAAGCTTTATAAATCTGTATTATTTTATTAATTTAAGCATTTTCTATTATAGAATTAATAATTTATAATTTTTGTATTTATTCAACATACTGTGCACTTACTATAAGCAAGGTATTGCTTTGAGCTAAACTCCTAATAGAAAATTCTCTCATGAAAATTTCTATGACAGAGTTACCCATGAGTAAAAAAATACTAAAAGCCAAACTCACTGCCGTAGAGTTGGATCTGACCCTTCCTTGGGTTTCTGAGGTGGTATCACTACGGAAGTAGATTGCTCAACCTTCCTTCCCAGGAGTGGCTGATGGGTTTGAACCACCAACCTTCTGGTTAGCAGTCAAATGCCTTAGGCACTATGCCACCAGGCAGATCAAATTACATCAAGAGCAAAAAAGTATTATTTAGCTCTTTCTTCTCCCCACTGTGCTTGTGGCATTAATTAATAGATTAGACAATCAAAAATAGCATCTTTGGGTATTAGGTGGAAGGAATAATGGATATTTGGAACTATGAAATCTGAACTCTAGAAGTTTCTATGAATGACATGTTGGACATATTTCTTAGGTGCTTGATGATTTACTTTTTTCCTAGCTGTGAAATGAATATTGGCTGTGCAGTAAGATCTCTAAATTACATCTGGAACTAGCAATCTGTTCCTCTAGTTTCATTCTCAGTCTTTTATCTATAAAGCTTCTTCCCCTTTTAAAACACTAAAATTACGCATGGGTGGGATTTAATCACGTTATTGTTTACATTGGCATTCGCCACCTCTGTAGATTACCCTCGAACTCACTTCTCCCTAAGGGAGAAACAGTGACATTTTTATTTACAGTTGAGAGACGGCCCTGGCACATTCGGCTTAACCATTCCTGAGCTTTCTCCACACCAGTCAGCCTGCAGAGAAGGTACTTGTCATCTACAATCAGCCATGAGATGAACTTAGAGGAATAAGTCCGTCCTCCCAGGGGACACCTGCAATTGTCTAATCCTGTCAGACACTGAATGGGAAAATATGTCTAATTCAGGTGAGGGTTTTAGCAAGCCTGGACGGTCCACCTTTAAGCCCAATCCTACAAACTAGCTCTGATAATTAAGAAAGCTCATAGACTGACCTTCGTTTCACCTGTGTCCATTTTTCAATTGGTACTGAACTTTGGTAAATAACATGAGCATTATATACTGGGTGGTCTCAACAACCAAGAAGGAGAAAGGCCAGATGAGTAATGGACTTTTTTTTTGGGGGGGGGGCAGGGGAGAGAATCACCTGCTTCTATGTACAACCATTTGCCTATCTCAATACATTCCTGTCCACACCCACTGTGGATTCAGCTCTTCAGATGTGTTTCCAGAGCTCCAAATATGTGTTCCTTTTCATCCCAAGTGATGCACATAAACTTGGTAGGAGCTCTCTGTTCCTGGTTCCTGAGTAGAAGGGTAGGTAGGTCTTTTTTTTTTTTTTTTTTTTTGTACTACACAATATCATTTTATGAAAGTCATTGGGACAGAGTTGTTTCATTAAATGTAGGAGTTTTTATTAAACATAAGTTAAAGACAAAATTTATTCCAACCAGAAAGAAGACCTGATGCAGCTGCTGGAAGAAAAGGGTCAGTATGAATTGAAATGCATAATTTATGAATAAGGAGAGCAAACTAATTACAGTTTACACTCACTATTTGGCCTTGACCAGAAGGCTGGTGATTCAAACCCACCAGTCACTCCCTGGAAGGAAGGGTGGGCAATCTACTTCCGTAGTGATACCGCCTCGGAAACCCAAGGAAGGGTCCCTATGAGTCGGGTCCGACTTGATGGCACATAACAACAACAACAACAATGCTCAGCTGGTGGTTGGTCCCATTGGTATCCTTCAGTTGAGGGCACTACATGTAGCTGTGGTCAACTAACAAATAATTATATCAGCTTTCTGGGGGAGAGATACATTCCTGTTCCTTTACAATTTAACTGAAACCGACTAAACCCAGTGCCATCGAGTCAATTCATAGCAACACTATACAACACTGTAGAACTGCCCATAGGATTCCCAAGGCTGTAAGTATTTATAGAAGCAGATTGTCTCATCCTTCTCTTGCAGAGCAGCTGGTGGGTTTAAACTGCCAACCTTTTAATTAGCAGTCCAGTGTCTTAACCACTGTGCTACCAGAGCTCCTTCACTACTTAAAGGTGGAAAGAAAAAGTTCCTGAGAATTTTATTTTCTGTTTTAATTGTATACATTAAAATGAAAATAGTACAAACTACCATAACTTTTGTTTTCTATCTACATATTTAATAACACTTACCTATTTAATCTATAGTAGTGCTGGTGGCGTAGTGCCAAAGGCATTTGACTGCTAACCAGAAGGCTGGAAGTTCAAACCCACCAGCCACTCCTCAGAAGGAAGGTTGGGCAATCTACTTCTGTAGTGATACCACTTCAGAATCCCAAGGAGGGGTCACAATGAGTCAGGGTTGCTATGAGTCGGAGTTGACTCAACAGCAGGGGGTTTGGTTTGTTTTTTTGGTTTATTTAATCTATACTGGCACGTATTTGTGTGCTGGAGATTCTGGCATAAGGTTTAGGACATTTTCAAATATCTATAGATTTTCTCTTTAACATATATGTGTCCATGGTAGGTCCCTGAGTCTACTGCCCTCCAAAATTCCAGGGTGCTGAAAATTAACCCACATCAGCAAGAGGCTAAGACTGCCCATAGGAGAAGTTCAAATGTGTTTGTACAAAATTTCCAAATGTGTATTACAATTGAATTATTCATTGTTTAGAATTTCCATATCCTTCTCTCCTCTCCATAGAATATATAACATGAAAGTTAATAGCATCACATTATGGTTATCAAAAATGTCCAAAATACATGGCCTTGCTTTACTCAAACCTTACATTATCCACTACATTAGAGTTGACTACAGCTCCTAGCAACCTCCATTGGGTTTCCAAGGTGGTAAATCTTTGTAGAAGTAGGTTGCCCCATCTTCCTTCCACAGAATGGCTGGTGGGTTTGAACTGCCAACCTTCTGATTAGCAGTCAAATGCCTTAGGTGCTATGGCACCAGAGCTCCTTACATTTCACTACAGGAGTATAAAATAAAATGCAATCAGACTTAAAGAACTATCAAAGTAATAATTAATTTAACATAGGTGCTAAGGCACTTAAAGTATCCCAGTGAATCCCAAGATTCCTCATCTCTTTTCCAAAACACAGACTGGTTTTTCAAAGGAGAATCATATGCTTACCAGTGAGGAATAGTGAAAGGAAGAAAGGAGACATGTCGGAATATTTCATTTATGAAAGCTTCTGTGTAAGGTAAGACTTTCCTGTCTTCAAATCTGGGTGATTTTAGCCCAATGTTTTTATCTGAAATAAAAATATATTTTTAAAAAATTTAATAATAAAAGTGATAATTAGAAGAAAACTTCTATGACTAAATTATAATTTTTATCTCAAAGTATGTTACCAATTTCTTCTTGAATTTTGGCTTGAATTTCTGGATAGTATATTAGATAAAGAAAGCTCCAATACAGACATGTGGATATTGTTTCAAACCCTGTAAAATGAAGGAGAGAATGAGTCATGGGAAAAAGTGTCAACATAATTGATATCCTCACTTTACTTCACATTCAAGTACTGAGAATTAGGGAAGGGAATTTAAATATAACCGTAAACTAATACAACCACAATAAAATAATTACTATCTGTTAGAGTGGATTGAAAATGTGCCATTGAGTCATCTCCAACTCAAGGTGACCCATGTGTGTCAGAGTCGAACTGTGCTCCATTCGGTCTTCATTGGTTGAGTTTTAGGAAAGCGGAGCATTAGATCTTTCTTCTAAGGTGCCTCTGTGTGGAAACGAACATCCTGTCTTTCAGTTAGCAGCCAAGTGTCTTAACTCTTTGCACAACCCAGGGACTCCTTAAAAAATATTGGTGTTATTTATCACACATGTGAACTCATTGCTAACATTGCACTACATAATAAACCTTATTGATATCATGGCAAGAATGACATAATCTATGCAATAATCATAATTATAAGTGGCTATTACTTGTTGTTGTTGTTGTTGTTATTTGCCGTCGAGTCGGCCCCAACTCATAGCCACCCCTCCTTGGGTTTCCAAAGCAGTATCACTACGGAAGTAGGATTGCCCAAACTTCCTTCCGAGGAGTGGCTGGTGGGTTTGAACCACCAGCCTTCTGGTTAGCAGTCAAGTGCCTTAGGCACTGGTAAGAATGACATAATTCATGCAATAATCATAATTATAAGTGGCTATTACTTATACTCTGTTATATATATTTCCTCTAAATCATAATGGAGACACGTAAGTTACATATAATTATGCACATTTTACTGAAGAGAAAAGCTGTGCTGTAAGGGAATTATGGGCCCTTGTTCAAGGTGACTCAACTCATGAGAAACAGACCCAGGACTTGAACTGGCACTTATCTGGCTCAAAAGGCCAGGAGTTAGTGTAAGAAAATAACGGAGGGTTATGTAGATTCATATTTTTTAAATAATAATTTTTAGTGTACTTTAAGAGTTTAAAATTCATCCTTTCAACAAGGCATCTTTATTTCTGAGATTTAGCACTAGTCAAATGGTTTACATTACTGGAAAAAAAATAGAGCAAAGAATTCTATATACTAATTGTTATCTTTTCTCAAGGGCAATTCTAAAACTATGTCAAAGATTGTAATCAGTTCTTGAAAACTTAAAACTCAGAAATGCCACGATAAAAACCTTTTCCTGGTAGGTGGTTCAAAGTGATAGGCAATGTGCCTGATTTGCTGAAGTTAGTTTGTTCTCCATTTTTTAGTCTTCATTATGTTCACTCATATACTATACTGTTTTCATCATAAATTCACTTTTATGATGACCTACTGCCAAATTTAATAGCATTAAAATGCTTGTGTTTGTGTTTTCTACTGTTATCAAATCTAGTAGCAAAAGTGTATTTTCGATTCTATGTTTTGTTTCTGGGTTCTAATGATGCCAATGACAACAGCAACAATAATGAAGAGATTTTCTAAATATTGACCACTTAATTGCATTGTCACTTAATATTCAAAACCCTATGTGATAGGGCTATAATTACTCTTACCTTAGATATGAGGAACTTGCAGCACGGAAAAGGCAATAAAATTTGATCAAGATCACACAGGGACAAAGCTAGCACCTGAACTAAATTCTGTGGCTCCACAGCACTGAGGATTAAGTATTTATTAAAAAAAAAAAAAAAAAAAACTTTCATTTTAACATGTACAAGCAATGAATTCAGGTTTAGCTTCAGACCCGAGCAATCTTTCCAAACTAAACTCCTCAAGTCCAGGTTTTCATGTCTTTTACGCAGAACAATCTCTTTAGTGAGCCAGTAGGTTCCATATTTTCCAACTCACAAAATTTCTGACATTGACTTCATACTGCAAGAAATTACCCTCAAGTTAGTTGTCCAAATGAAGTTGCTGATCAGGGTGTCTCTACAGTAGAGTACAGTACAGTGTTAAAAGTTGGATATATTGATTCTGTTCTCCAGCAAGAGAAAATAAAAAGTCCATGGATAAAAAACAGGGTTCAGAATTTGATCATCATAAATTTGGCTTTTTACATCAAGACTTAAGAAAAACTCTATTGTTATCCATCTTGGTAGATAATCTAAGTATTATTGGGTTCATAAGCAATGATTTGGGAAAAGCCTGACTATATCTTAAGGTGAAAGTAAATTATCTCTATGATCAATTTGAAAAGTTAAATATGGAAATATAAATGCTAATTATGTAGAAGCTCTGATTGGATAGAATATTGCAAATTATATCTTTAAATATGTGGTTTATAGCTCACTATTTTATTCTAATAAAAGATTTCATTCATCTCACTGGTATGGAAATTTATCATTTTCTTATTTTTCATTATTACTCTTACTTGCATTCAAAATACAGATTCAATTTGATGTATTTATCAAGTAAATAAATGCTTTACACATATAAGCAAGGAGCTCTGGTAGCATAGTGCCTGAGGCACTTGACTGCTAACCAGAAGGCTGGCAGTTCAAACCCACTAGCTACTCTTTGGAAGGAGGGTTGGGCAATCTACTTCCATAGTGATACTGTCTCGGAAACCCAAGGAGGGGTCTCTATGAGTTGGGACTGACTCAACGGCACATAACAACAACAACAACATATATGCATTATACTGAATACTCTTTTCTGCACACATTTTAACTAAAAATAATTTACCTGGGTTGTGTGTCTGATAGCTCTATTCTAAATACTAGTTACTTTTGTTATCTGCCATAATTTAAATTTGTTAATTACTTAAGGATATTGGCAATATTATGTATTTCTGCAATTTATTTACACATTATTTCATCAAATCAGGATGAAAATAAATCCTTCTTGATATATTCATCACACCACATATACTCAGTTGCATTCAAGTTTTAAAGATGGTCCTCAAAATTCTAACATTAGTATCTACCTTCAGACTGTTGTCAGAAAAAAAACACTAAATTCACTATGATAAAATTTATATGATAAACAACCAGTGACTTCAAATTGAAATCATGATCAAAATAAAAGATATACATAGATATGTATATATGCATATATATATACTTGCATACATACACTCACACACACACAATGTGTTTGCATGTAATACAAATCAAAACAAATCCTTCTGTTTACAAAGAAAATTCGGTAACCTAAATACACAGATCCTAGAACAAAATGAACCAAAGTGGTGATAAAGATAGTATAAAATAAAAAAGAAAGGAAAACTAAAAAATTAGAAAACCATACTGCCTAAAATATAACTGCTAATATACCATTAGTATTTTTATTGTTTGCTAGACTAAGGAAATTGGCTTCCTCTTGTCTAATAACTTATAGAAAGTACAAGAAATATGATAGATAAAAGTGATAATAATAATAATAAACCTAAATAATATAAGAATGATAGTAAGAAGCTCTGGTGGCATAGCACCTAAGGCATTTGACTGCTAACCAGAAGGCTGGTGGTCCAAACCCACCAGCCACTCCTCAGAAGGAAGATTGGCAATCTACCACAGTAGTCTCTACTCAGAAACCCAAGGAGGGGTGCTATGAGTCGAATCGACTCAATAGCAGTGAGTTTGTTTTGTTTTGTTTAGTAATATGGTAATAATATAGATTGGTATAGTTTTTAAAAAACTGGCATTATATATCAAAAGCTCAAGAATATTTTTATTCATTGGTTCAGAAATTCTGCTTTTGGGTGTTTACTGTAAGGTTGAAATTCAAAAAGAGTCAAAACTGAGGTAGGTGGTCTTCTTAACATTAGTGAGATATTCAATATTTGCATTATTTTTGCAGGTCAGGAATTGCAAATAGTTTGGGTGCCCATCCCAGTGACCCCAGATGGTTAAAATGTAGGGGGTGCATGTACAGAGTATAATGCAATTGTTATAAGCAGCTGATTAGAAATACATGACAGATCTGGCTGGATCTTACAAACATAGTACTTCATGAAGAAAGTTGGAAACTGAGATATAAATAGCAATAGCATTTACATAAAATAAATTGCATGATAATATAAGTAAAGCTCATTTTCTAATAATATATTCATACAAAAAAAAGTAACATTTTGAAATCATTAAGAAAAAGTATCAATGGATTGGGGAAGCAACTTTGAATGGTTTCAGGGATAAAAAGGAACAGGTAACGAACCAACCAACTAACTAAATAAATCAAGGCTTGTGACTGCATGGATCAATGATGTTAATGCATCATGAAACTATTATTACTATCAAATGACATAGGAAGAAGGAAGAATTCCAGATTGAATACAATATGAGCTCTACCACATAAAATGAACAATTCAGAAAGAGAGAAACACTGTAAATAGTGGATAGCAAAACAGTGCAGTTGATTTTTGTCTTATATATTGATAAATATTGTCACATACCAGCTCCAAATAGGTCATGCACGGTGCTTATGATTTCATCATCACTTAAGATGGCTGTTTTGGTAGAAGCATGTTTGTTGTGGCATATATTAATCAGAGCATCAGTAATGTCTCGGATATGGTCCTGAGGAGACAAACTTTAACATGATGACTCATTCCACCTATATGTCAGTCACATCACACATGAAGCCCATGAGGAAGAGTCATAGCCTCATGTAACTTGAAATGAATCCAATGTGCTTATGAATATAAATATATTATTTAAAACCTTACAGCCATTTTTGTTTGAAAAGAAGTAATGCTTAACTTTAATAGTGTAAAATAGAAAACCAAGCTCCCAAAATATTTTTTTTTAAAAAAATGAAACTTCTTTCAATCCACAGAAATGAGCACCTTATTCCATAAGCACATTTAGAAGATGTTAGCATTAAAGGATAACATTTATAGAGAAATTACATGGCATTTGATATAATAAAAGGCTTCTGAACCTATTGTATGGATTTTACTGTCATCATAGAGAAAGAGATGGGGATGCATAGATCAGGAAATGGGAAAAAAAAGTTTATGAACTCTTATAAATTCATACACTTCCTGCACCTGATCTAGATTCCTAGCTAGTATCTTGAAACAGATTTTCTTCTCTTTTGCATTGGAGGGGACTTAACTTTTCACACATCTTCATTTGCTTGATTATCTACCTTGATCACCTATCTTTTCCTGTTTAATTTTTTTCCTATTATTCTCACATCAGCTGGTTGGGTCTAAAGATCTAGGATTCTTTCTGGCAGATGCATGGCTCACAAGGGGTATTCATTCTTCTGGGGACAATCAAATTGGGGGAAAAAAAGAAGGAATGGCTTTATAGGAAAAGTCTGCTCCTGCCACCTGGAGAGCTTTAGTATGTGTTTTATGATCTCAAAATTAATTTCTATATGTTAATGGATCTCAGGGAAGAAATGTGGGTATAAAAGAAGTTTTGAAAAAAATATACTAATGTTTTTAAGTCCAGGTTTTCATAATTTCAGATATGGTTAATGCTACAAAATGAAAGTATTTGGCTCATTTCTTCAAGGAACAAACTCATCTATATTCGGGCCATCATTTATCAGTCAATTACAGATTCATAAATCATGCATGTTGCCTCAGAACTGAGGAAATTTCTGAGGCCTCAAAGACTTTAGAGTTATCCTAAAGGTCCCTACATGAGAACACTGAGTATTACTGTGCTGTAGTCCTACTGACTAGAGCTAAAGTTTAATAGTAGCATGGATGAGTGTTACTGTGACAAAACTACCAAGATAGAATACAATCTTCTGGGTACTCAATGCTTTTCATCATTGCAAAACTCTCGTCTAGTATTAATTCCTTACCTTATCATGTGTTTTAATATGATCTTTTACATGTCCTGCAATAAACTGATTTAGGGCCTGATAAAATTCCCGGGGAGCATTTATAATACGTAATGGGAGATAGCGGAAACAAGGTATGAAATCAGCAGGGTTAGCTGGACTGGAGGCCTTCAGTAACTCATCATTTGTTTTAACTATCTTAAGAAAGTCTTCATCATTGTGTTCATATCTCTTGCCAAAGCAAAGGGCACAGACAACATTGGCCACTGCAGAGGTGATTAAGTTTCTGGGTTCAAAGCTGTCGTTCTTGGAAGTCAATTCTGCAAAGAATTTCACCATCTCAGAAACTTCCTCAGTGACATGTTCCTCAAGCAGGCAAGAGCAGGTGGAGGATTTTGCTTCTGCTTTGGAAAAAGTTCTTAATGCATTAGAGGCAATTTTCTTGTGAAGCTTCCAACTTTCTCCATAATTGACTGAAAATGAAAAACTCTTTCCTTCTGCCAAGACAGAAAATGTGTGCATGTTAGGTCTGCCTGCAAAATGCTCTCCATCTTTGAGCAGCACTTGTTTCACCATCTCCATTCCATTCACCACCACAACAGGTACCATCCCAAGTTTGATAAGAAAGACATCTCCATATTTCTTTCTCATTTCCATGAACGTCAAATAAGGATGATCTCCAAGCTGGAGAAGATTTCCAATGATGGGGAAGGACCATGGGCCAGGAAGAGATAAAATCTTTCCACTCTTGCTCCCTAACACTCTTAGAAAAACAAAAGCCATCACCAAGACAATGAGAGAAGTAGTCACCTCTCCAGCAGTGACTGCCAAGTTGAATATCATCTTTAGGAATAAGGCACCTAAAACAGAAAAATGTAAGCCTTATTTTTGACAAAATAGTCTTTCTTCCTTGAAACATTTAGAAGCAAAATAAAGGCACTTTGGAGTGTGTTGAAAGCTATTCTTAACAGACTAACAAGAAGACAAAATAAAATTCTTGTAAACCACAGTGCATCTTTATCTCAATTCTATTATTTTCACATCCTAACCAGCAAACCCAAATCTGCCACATTAGTCATTGACCATAAACATAAAATAAAAGGAATGGCTTTATAGGAAAAGCCATAGACCTCAATGTAGAAAGCAACATGGTGCTTTAGAAAGGGGTTGAGGCTGTATAAATTGATTTCATATTCACCAGTTGGAGACTTTTGTCCTTTCACTTCCCCTCAGAGCATCCCAGTTTTCTCATCTAAGCATCCTATCTCACAAAACTGGCCATATATGCTTTCAACTAATACTTACTGCACCCCCTCTCCCAATGTCAGACACTAGAAATGCAAAATAAAATTTTAAGGACCATTTCACAGGACTATTAAAGATCCCTGATAGTACAGTGGTTAAGCATCCATCCGCTAACTGAAAGGCTGGGGATTCAATCCACCACTTCATGGGAGAAAGAGGTGGCAATCTGTTTCTGTAAAGATTACAGCCTTCCAAATCCTTTGAGGCAATTCTGCTCTGTCCTATAAGTTCTCTGAATCAGAATCAACTCAATAGCAATAAATTTAAAGAGGAAACCAGCTTAAAAAAAAAAAAAAAAAAAAAAAAAACTACAATATGGAAGGTGCTGGTGATCTTCTGAAGACTAGACAATGAAAACTGCATTGGTCACAACGATCCAATTGGGTTGTGGATGAGGTCACCATGAGTCCGCAGCCAGTTAAACTGTAGCTAACAACAACATAGAATAGAGAACATTCGCTCCCTTTGAAGAAAACAACTGACTTGTTCATGTTTCTCAAATTACTTACTGAGATAATACTGGTGGGTGAAATACTCATTGGCCAAATTACATACTTCTTTGACTTTTGAGAAACTTTTAAAAATATATATACCTTAATTTCTGATAAGCAATAATAAATGTGTCTCCAAGATTAGAAGAGAATGATTGAGTGGTAAAAACTGCTTCACTTATGTTCTAATATAAAAAAAACACCAAGGGTCAAAGGAATTTTTATCTTCAAGTTCTTACTCAGCAGAAACAGCTCCTATTCCCAGTTTGCAAGAAAAAGCCTTTTGCAGATCATATCTGATTTTTTCACCTTCTAAAGTCAAAGATAAAACGTTTACAACACCAATTTGGTTGGCACTGTTTTCTAAGAAGTGAACTTTGGAGTTAAAATTGAGAGATTAGCTTTGTTATGGAAAAACAAAACTGAATGTGCATGTAAGTTAAAGAAATTTAAAAACAAGAAACAACTTAGTACCCAGTCAAAAGAATAGCTACAATTTGCCAAATGTCACCATTGTCTCTGTTCAGAAAACAGAATGAGGACTTTATTGTATTGCATGCTTTGCAGCATGCTAATTTTGTAAAACTTCTTCCCTTAATAATAGTAACTGCTAGCATTGATTGTGTTATTCCCAAGTTCCAGAGACAGCACTAATCATTAAGTCTTCACTGTCTTTTTAAACCCATGTCTCTGTGAGGTAATATATCATCTTGTTATGGAAAGGCTCAGAGACATAAAGTCATTTTTCCCATTGTTTTTTTTCAGCTTAATAATAAATTCCTGGTTATTTACTCTACTGTTCTTGTTGTTAGTTGCCATGGAGTTGATTTCAACTCATGGTGACCCCATGTGTTTCAGAGTGGAACTGTTAAATAGAGCTTATTTTGGATGCAACCTTGATGGAAAAAGATAATTATGTCATTTCTTCCAAGGTGTCACTTTGTGGTTTCCAATAGCCAACCTTTAGATTAGCAATTGATTACAAACTGTTGGGGACCACCTAGGGCCCTTATTTATTTCCAGTACTTGTTTTTTCTATAAAATTCAATTTCTCTTGGGCATACACCAAAAACTGCCAATCTGTGCATTGACAATCATCAGCAATATTTCCGAGGCCTGGTGCTATGCTGTGAGTGTGGTGGAAGAACACTGGACCTTCAGGAAAGATGACTGGCTTTCCTTACTCCCTTTCTATTTAGCTGTAGGACTTCTGTTAAGTTAAAAGCTCTTTTGGCCTCAGTTTCCCTAGCAGTAAACTGATCATGTCAAACTAGAAGGTATCTAAGGGTTCCCCAAGTTTAGTTTTCTGTAACCAAAGCTAGAGAGAAGACAAAGTGGAAGGTTGAGAATAATAATATATGGGGTTAATTGCCCAACGATATTATTTTGCAAGAGTCTCCAGAGCAGTTCACAGTTCACCAAGAGAGTTAAGCAATGGTGTGGCCAGCCTGGGCCCTTTACATTTCTCTCATTAAATTCTCTTTGGCAGTTAAACAGGCATAGATATGTTGCCAACTTTCCCAGTGACTGTCTTGGAAAGCACTGAAGGCACGTTCTGTTCTTGTTGGGGTGAACTAGTTATTAGGACAGGGGGTGCTGAAGGATCCCTGAAAGTGGGTTGATACTCTGCTAGAGATTCAAAGTGAACCCCAAGTTCTTTAGAGAAAAGCCAGGTAAGAAGAGCATAGTTTGAAGGATTTTGTGCTCTCAAGCCTGTTTGCACATTAGGCATGCTGGGAGCTGTTGAACAATGACAGCGTCCAAGTCTCAAACCAGCTGATTAAATCAAAATTCTAGCTGTGAATGCACACTGAAAAGCTCCCTAATGTGTGTGAGAAGAATTTGGATTGAGGACCTTCATAGGAGAGAACAACCTGTTAGAATGATCAGCAAACGGTCTCCATGAATCCACAATGAAAATCACAATGAAGTTCTGAAAGCTCACCTGTGTAAGAAATCTTCCTGGTCAGTGTGAAGAATCTGGCAGAGAGATCTGAAGACAGAACAAGTTTGTGGGGAAAGCTGAGTGTATCCTACGGAACAGGAACAATCTCGGCCACAGCAACAATGGGCCCAAAGCCTCCCTTCAGAGAAAGGATAGCTTCTTGTTTATTCACCCGAAAAGAGATGGCGAGGAGAGGACCTTGGACTCAGCTGGGGAGGAGTTTGGAGCTGGACCAGGGCTTTGGGAGGAAGAAGGAGGGATGGAGAGGCCTGTGAGGCAAGAACTGGATTCCGGAAGCAGGGAAATTCCTGCAGGAGTGGAGAAAAATGGACTACATCTGGAGCAGGGTCTCTGGGAGAGGAATTAGATGGCAATTGATCTCTGAAGGAAGCATGGAGGGAGAGGGGAGATGATTAAAAAGAGCTGATGGCATATAGAAGTGTGGTCAAAAGATACGTAGCAAGGAAGCAAGGAACAGTGAGGAAGAAAGACTGAGCAGAGTACAGAGCAGCTGCAATGAGTTTCAAATTTCCTTTCTGTAACATCCACCAAGGAATTTTGGTGGTGCGATGGTTAAAGGATTAGGCTGCTAACCAAAAGGTTGGCAGTTTGAAGCTCCCTTCAAATCTCAGAGAAAGATTTGCCCTGGCAAAAACCCTATGAATGGGAACCAACTCAATGGCAGTGGGTTTGGCTTGGGTTTTAAAGAGCATCCAGCTTTTCGCACCAGGAAAATGCTCCCAACTGGCTTGCTGTCAGCAAGCACGGGCTGAGCAGGAAGGTGGAGGCAAATACAATATAAAGAGAGCATTCGTTAAACTTTCTTAGGGGCGTTAATTCCTCAGGTGTCTTCCTAGTCGAACTGATACGTATTATTGCCACAACTAGATTAAGCTTTGATGTGAGAAAGTTCCTATCTGCACTGGGAAATTTTCTCCGAGCCTGAATAAACCCAGTTTTCCCACCTGCTATGTGCTCAATGGCCTGTTTTTCTTGAGTATCTTTCTGTATATACCTGCAACTTCTTAATTAAGAGACTATTTTTTAAGCTTTTGAGTATAGTTTGGGGTTTGAGGTTTCAACATCAACTTTTAATGAGAGTGCTCAAGAATGATTACTAGCAGTCAGTACTTTCTCACACAGAGGAGAAAGTAAGCCCAGAAAATGAAAGCTAAACCTCACATTCACTCAAGGATAACCTTTAGGTCCCCGGCGACAGTGTCACATTCACTAAACATCATCAGTTTCTAAAATATCCAAACTCTAGAAGTCACGTGTCGAAAAATTTGACAAGGCCTGTGAACTCTAGGAATTTTCTGACCCACATTTTGCTACTTGGTACTTAATCATTATCATACTTCAACAAACAAACAAAACCCCTTGCCAGTGAAGTCATTCAAACTTACAGCCACCCCATAGGACAGTCTGACACATCCTTCCCCGTAGAGCAGCTGCTGAGTTCAAATTCTTTATTAGCATTCAGGTGCTTAACCACCGCCCTACCAGGGCCCTTCGTCATGTTTAGCTACTAAGTAACAAAAATTTAGTCCTAATATATATATGTATATATGCTTTCCATTAAGTATATTATTCTCTGACATAACAGCACAATGGATTACTTTAAAAAAAAGTCTGAAATCAACAACTAGTAGAAAAACAAATTTATAGACAGTGTGTAGGAATATCAAATTCTTTATCCAAGTACCCATATTATAGACAATTGTTTATAATTGCTTGGCAATGTGTTCTTTAAAAATTTTGTTAGAAGGGAATAATGATAATTGTCTTCTCACTGGTTAAGTGCCAGATCCATCTAGAATAATAACTGTGACAGTTAACATTTATTTTGACATTGAACATTTATTTTGTGTTTACAATGAATAAAGCCAAAAACCAAATTCACTGCTATGGAGGCAATTATGACTCACAGAGACCCCATCGGGTTTCCAAGGCAGTAAATCTTTACAGAAGTAGATTGCCCAGTCTTCCTTCAGCAGAGTGACTGGTGGGTTTGAACAATCAACCTTCTAGTTAGCAGTCAAATGCCTTAGGCACTGTGCCACCAGAGCGATGAATTACATGAATTACAATGAATAGACATT